CCAGGTGTGGTGGCACGTGCCTATAATCCTAGCAATCAAGAGGCTGAGGCAGGAGGATTGTTGTGAGTTCGAGACCAGCCTGGGCTACAAAGTGAGTTCAAGGCCAGCCTGAACTGCATAGTGAGACCCTGTCTCAAAAAGACAGAAAATTAAAAATTAAAAAAAAATATTGAGATGGGCTGGGAAGGGAATGCCAAGAGGGATGGACATCATTTGGAACTCCTTGGGCTTGGGAATGGATATGCTCATTAGTGATACTTTCAGTTGTCTCCCTTTGGAAAAAGTGAATCTTTCCCCCTGTGGTACTGCTTTACCACTGAACCCTTTTTATTTATTTTATTTTATTTGTATTTTAAAATGAGATCTCACCAAGTTGCCAGGATTGCCTCAAACTTGTTTTTTGAGATAGTCTTGCCATATACCATACTTCTGTGAAAATAAGACTTAACTGGAATATAAGCCCTAGCATGATTTTCAGGATGCTGGAAATATAAGCCCTACCCCCAAAATAAGCCCTAGTTAAGATCAGACATATAAACACATTCAGTATGTCTATTGTAAGCTATATTGAATTACAAAATAATATCATATGTAATTTATATAATTAATAAATATTATTGACATTAATTCTTAAATAAATGATAATATAATGAGGCATTTATAAATACCCAAGCGGGCACCTTAAACAGATGAACTGGAGACTCATAGCCGAATGACCAGTGTACAGACCCAACACGCTTGATGCCAAAGGGCTTGGTTGTGTCTCATATGAATCTTTATAAAGCAATACGTCGTGTGTTATAATGGACACACTGCACTCGTTGTTAAATGAACACTTTCTGATTCTGGTGCCTACAATTTTTCATCCCTTCTGTCTGGACCATCATTCTTAACTGTCATCAATTTTTTTTTGCACTCCTGTCACGTACGCTTTTAGTCAACACTTAATTTAAAGGAAACTTCGTGAAGCCCTGAAGCCTGGCCTGCAAGAGGTTGTGAGTTGGGTGAAGAAATAGTGGAATAGCCAGGCCTCAGCTCCGGCCCAGGGCAAGGCACTGCTCCCTGGCTGGGCGAGGCTCTGAGGAAGGCTCTTCTGTTCTCTTCCCCTCGGGCAGAAGGGGCCAGGCCGAGCACCATGTCTACAGGAGCGGAGGTGCCGTCCTTCGCCTGCCCCACCCTCGCCTTCTCAGACTTCACCCGGCCCTGCCGCTGAAGCCCAGTGGGGCAGAGGTTTAGGCCAGGTACGGGTTTGGGGGTCCCATACAGGTTTCGGGGTCCCACAGTGCTAGGGTCAGAGCCTACTCCAGATAGTGCAATCCCCAATCTTTAAATTGAAACTTTCAGATGAAAACCAAAACATGCAGTGGGAATATAAAATGGTGCAGGCACGATGAGAAACGATCGGGCAGTTCCTCTCAAAGTTAAACATGAACTGCCGTGGGATTCAGCAATTCTACTTCTGGGCATGTCCCCAAAGAACTAAAAACAGAATCTTGAACAGATTTGTATACACCCATGTTCATAGCATCATCATTCACAATAGCTGAAAGGTAGAAGCAACCCAGGCGTCCATCAGAGAATAAATAAAATCTGATCTAATTACACAGTAGAATATTAATCTGCCTTAAAAGGGGATAATTCTGCCACATGCTACACACAGATGAACCTTTAGGACTTACACTAATTGAAGCCAGCCAGTCCCAAAAAGACAAATGCTGTGTGATCCCACTTATGGGAAGTGGAGTACTCAGGTTCACAGAGACAGAGTGGAATGGGGGTTGCCAGGAGACGGGGAGCAAAATGAGGAGTTAGTGTTTACCAGGGGCAGTTTGTTTGGGAAGACGTTCTGGCAATGGCTGGTGGTGATGGTTGCAAAGTAACGGAAGTACACCTAACGCCGCTGAAAAATACACAACATGGTAGATCCGAGCAGCTGGAGAATTGCATGGTGGAGCCCATGTCTAGCATGCACAAGGCCCTGGGCTCAGTCCCTAATACCACAAAACAAACAAAAACTTGGTAGATTTTATGTTATGTGCATTGTACCACAATTTTTTTTGTCTTTTTGAGACAGGGTCTCACTATGCGGTTCAAACTGGCCTCAAACTCACTTTGTAGCCCAGGCTGGTCTCAAACTCGCAACCGTCCTCCTGCCTCAGCCTCCTGGGTGCTGGGATTACAGGCGTGCACCACCATGCCCAGCTCACAATCTTTAAAAAATGCATTACCTGCTCAAATTCTGCCTTCATATGAAATCCTTTCTGAGAGGCAAGAAATGGGGGGAGTCTGGAACTCAAGGGTCCCAAGGATGGGTAAGGGCCAAGAGGGGAAGAATGGGGCCACCGCGGCCTGAACTTGTGGTCCGTACCAGAGGATCTGCCCATCCCACCACATCCTGTCACGCTGTCCCCACCAGCTTGAGCACCCCTCCCTGTGCTTGCAGTGGCTGCCCCATCCACCATTCAGCCACATGGTGACGTTGTAAAGTGACTGCATCTCCCCTGTCTCAGATGCCCCAGCTTCGGTCCTGCAAGCAGTGAAACTTCTCAGCTGACACCACCTGTTTTCCAGCTTCACAGTCCTGCTTTCCCCAAGTCCCAAGTTCTTGCATCACATGCCAGAGCGACTTTTTAGTACCTTTCATGTGGAAAGTAGTCAGAGTTATCCCTGACTTTCCCAGCTACCCTGCAGGGCAGCTATCACCGAATCCAGGGAGAGACAGAGAAGCAGTCTCACAGCCTAGATGAGGCTCAGAGGTCCAGGCTCCACACTTCCTCCCGCAGCGGCTGTCCTGTCATTCGCTCTGGGGCCTCAGTACTTTTCCTTACAGCACCCTGTTGACTCCAGATCACATCTGTCACCCTGGTGTGCCCTGACACCGCTGCCTCTGCAGGGGCACCCCTCTCCCTAGCCTTCTGATTGCATTGTTTTCTTCCTAGCATTCACCAGGCTGGGAATCATCTCTTGTATACACACGTAATATCCTTCTCCCCACCAGAATGTGAGCTCCAAGACAGCAGGGACCGCATTGCCTTGCATCCCTAGTACCCGGGCCATGCCAAGTAGACAGCAGGTGCTCAACGAACAGCTGCTATGGGCGAGTCCACTGGTCAGCGCTGTCCGACCCCTCCCAGCTGACCCATCCCTCCCTCCATATGCTCTCAGCCCTCTGGAGCTGGACAAGCTCTTGGTCCCTCACACGAGGTTTGTGGCTATATAGTCGTTCTTGTCTCTCCCCTGGCAGACCCTAGCCACCAGGGCAGGGACTGGACCCAGGCCCAGCCTCCTCTTGCCAGACGCCTGAACAGCACCCACATATCCGAAATGGACACTTGATTTGTTCCTGCTTCATTCTTTCCACAGACTCAGAAGCAGTCTTCCTGCTGAAGGGAGGGCCTGCCCTTACCAATCCCTCTGGGGTGTCACCCCGCTGAGCCCATAGCTCCCCAAAACTGGCCCATCTTCAGGAGGAATCTGGAGCAAGGGTACCAGCTGCTCGGCCACCAGCAGCAGCATGTTTTATTGCAACCAGAATGCCCTGGTCATGTGAAGAAGGGCAGGGGAGGGCACAAGGCAGGACACACCAGGGGGGTGACTTCGGTGCCTATCCCCGGCAGGTTGTTAGTGGAAATCAATGAAGCACATTGCTTCCAAGGGGAGAGGGCAGGAGGGAGGGAAACAAGGCTCGAACTAAGAATCACTGGCCAGTGGCCCAAGGTGGACAGTGTCCACACCCTGCTCCCCAGTGTCACCCCACCTGGGTGCCCTGCAGGATCAGCTGAGGGGCCTATGTGGGGATCTGCATGCGGTCCAGGTCCTGATCCATGATCTGGAGGACATCGTCCAGAATGGAGGGCCCCAGGTCCACATGCAGGGACAGCAGCGAGCTGGCATGGGACAGGAAGGGCTCCTCAGCTTCCGACTCTGGGGTCAGCCCATTGTGGGACGAGCCAGCTTCTGGAATCCTCCAGATGTCCACACTTCCTGCCTCCTGTGGGGAAGGCCGTGGGGAAGGCTGGGGTGTCTCTAGGTGCAGGCGAGGGGGCTTGGGTGGAGCTTGGGCTGTGGGCAGGGTGAGGGCCTGAGGCCCCCCGATGACCGGGAGGGAGATGGCGTTCTTAAGCAGAGGCGACGGCCCATCAGGGAGCTCCCGTCTGCATATGGTGGCAGTCCGGGTGAACTGGAAGGGGAGGTCGAAGCTGCCATCCTCCTCTGGCTCCTCTATGGTTGTTCCTGGTAAGAGGTGAAACTTGCCCTGCAGAAAAGAGATGTCCCCGAACATGTCACTGCCACCGCCGCTGCCAATGTGAATGGTGTGGCGGAAGTCCCCGAGCGGCGGGCTGATCATGTCAGAGGACAGCAAGTCCCGTAGCTTCTCCTTCTTGCCCTTGCGGCTGCTGCGCTTCAGATAGATGGGGACCTTGGTGGACATGGTGACCTCACCACCCAGGCCTGGCTGCTGGCCCACTGTTCACACGGCCTCTGCTTAACACGCTCAACCTGAAACACTGGCTTCAAGTCGGGGGTTTTCAGACACCAAACACTTGCCAGAGCCCTAAAGACTGGAGTGTGAGATTTGACCAAAGTTGGTCCAAGGAATTAGGAAAAGGAGCGTCAAAGGCCAGTGAAGTCAGGGAGTTGCGATAACAAAAGTTGCTTTCTCTCTAGAGTAGAAAATTCTCTTCTAAAAATTGAAGGCAGAAAACTAGAGATCTCTTTGGCAGCAATGGGCTTTGGTCTTCTCCCTGGGATTCTCGACCTGGTCCAGGGCTGTGGAGCTGAAACACAAAGGAGATATAAATCAGGGACATGAAGACAAAAGTCAGAAGCAACTGTCACGTTCTTGGTCTCCTGCATCTGGGAGCCCTGTTGGGGCCGCCATGTTTGGGGGAGGCCCCCAAAAGAAGCATGTCCTCAGGGACTCACTGTGTCTTAGAATAGAGCACCAGCATGAGCCCATCCCGTCACCTGTGAGGAAGCTGAGGTCACAAGCCAAGGACTGCCGGAGCCCTGGGCGCCTGGCCGTACTGCACCCTACTCCCCCCAACACCCGGTTCCCTGCCTCCCTTCCCTCCACTGCACATCTGCTGTGCCTCATGACATGCTAAGTGCCCTTGGGTAGGGGGCTCCCCAATGGTCTCAACACTCCACCCAGGCCTGGTGCAGGATAGGAGAAGCAGCAGGTGTTCCACCAGCAGTGAGGAATGGCTGTCACCTCCCACGTGCTCTAATCTCCTCTCACCTGTAGGTGAGGTCACCTGGGAATTTCCCTTTTCTCTTCCTCTGGGTCAAGAGTTCCTTATGGGAAAGGGCTGAGTCTGATGTGGTTTCTGGCCCTCTCCCCTGCCCCAGCATCTAAAGAGATGGTGGGGTGAGAAGTACAAAGCACATTATTTTTTTTTTTTCAGTTGTTAATACTATGTTAACAATTCTGGGGATTTAATCCAGAGCCTATGCCCTGAGCTACCACCGCAACCCTTTTATTATTTTTTATTTTGAGCCAGAGTCTCATTAAATTGCTAACTTCCCTGGCCTGAGCTGGAACTTGGGATCTTCCTCAGCCACCCAACATGCTAGTGTCACCACACCCTGCTATTTGTTTGTTTGTCTTTTTGAGACAGGGTCTTGCTATGCAGTTCAGGCTGGCCTCAAGCTCACTTTGCAGCCCAAGCTGGTCTTTGTTTGTTTGTTTGTTTTCATTTTTTTGAGATAGGGTCTTGCTATGCAGTTCAGGCTGGCCTCACAACAATCCTCCTGCCTCAGCCTCCTGAGTGCTGGGATTACAGGCGTGTGCCACCACGCCCAGCTTAAAGTGCTCTATAACACTTGGTTCCAGTACTATAATATGACATGTATATATGGTATATGGAAATATGATGGGGTGTTTGTCCAAAGCAGATAGTGGTTATCTCAAGTTGGTAGAGCAGGCCCTTTTTTTTTTTTTTTTTTTCAAGATAGAGTCTTACTATGTATATGCAGCCCAGGCAGGCCTCAAACTCTCAGTAATCCTCCTGCCTCAGCCTTCCAAGTACTGGGATTAAAGGCATGTGCCACCACACCTGGTTTATCAAAGTGGTACAAATTCAGGTTGGCTTTTCCTCTTTTGTTCAGGCCTTTCATAAAATGAATGTGTGTGTGTGTGTGTGTGTGTGTGTGTGTGTGTGTTGCTGGGGATTGAATTCAGGGTCTTCACACTGAGCTACACCAAGCTCTTTTTATTTATTTATTTATTTTTTATTTTTTGAGACAGGGTCTTATGTAGTTCAGCCTGGCCTTGAATTCACTATGGAGCCCAGGCTGGCTGTGAACCCATGGCATTCTACCTGCCTCAGCCTCCTCAGTGCTGGGATTACAGGCGTGCACCTCCATGTTCCTCCTTTATTTTTATTTTGAGAGAAAATCTCACTAAATTGACCAGACTGGGTTCAAATTTTTGGATCCTCCTGCCTTAGCCTCTCAGAGTACTGGGATTACAGGTGTGCACCCCCACACCTGGCTCAACTTAAGTGTGCATTATTATTATTATTATTATTATTATTATTATTAGTCTTTTTGAGACAGGGTCTTGCTATGCAGTTCAGACTCGCCTTGAGCTCATTTTGAGGCACAGGCTGGTCTCGAACTTGCAGTTCAGCCTCAGCCTCCTGCCTCAGCCTCCCAAGTGCTGGGATTATAGGAGTGCGCCACCACGCCCGGCAGTGTGCATTATTTATACACACACATACTATTTATGTAGTCAGGAGAAATAAAGATATTTTTAATGTGCACAAATGAAGACATTATGGTAACAAAAGGGAAATGGAGCACGTATGCACTGTCTCCTGGGGTGCTTGGAGGGCATGACTGGCCTGACACAGATACATGGGAGCTGAAATGTATAATCAGCATAAAAGGCAAAAAAAAAGAAACTCATCCAAGGTCACCCAGCAGATGAGGGCAGGGCCAGCATTCAAGCCAGATGAGCCCACCCTTTCCCACTGCCCCCACCCCAAGGGCTGGCCAGGAGCCAAGCAAAGGAGACAGCTGCCAGTTCCTCTCCCTCATTCTCCATCCTGGGTGGGGGAAGGGTGAGCAGGAGGGGCCGGAAGGAGGACGGAAAATGCGGGAGGGGCTGAGCCCCACCCCCACCTCCTGGAAAAGGCTCTCACTCAGGAAACCCCACCCTGGACCAGATACCCAGGTCAGTCATGGCGAAGGCATCTTACTCTTCCTCCTAGAGCACCTGCAACTAGACAGGACATAAAGGAACTCTCCAGTTGTGGATTCCAGTGAAATTTAGAAGGAGCTGCAGGGAAGGGAGGCAGTGGGCCTCCCGAGATCATAGAATCCCATCACTCATTTATCCTGCATTCTCCAATCCAGGGCCAGGGGCATGTTGACAAATATCCAATCTGTCCCCCTGTCCAGCGAGATGTCCGGGATAGCTTTTTATCCTTTTCACTTAGGGACAGTGTGGCTGGTTGGCATTGTTTGCTCCAAACCCACACCAGCCCTCCCTCCATCCCATCCCGCTAGAGCCCCAGGACAGCTTGAGTGTTTCCACAGCAAACTGGACTCCCTGACAGCTGTCTCACTCAGAGCCAGATGTACCCGCCCAATTCCAGATGTGGGGAGAACCAAGGCTAAGGGAAAGGGTGGAGTCTGCATCAATGGCCCAGGGGAGAGTTGGGAATTACAGCCAGCACGCCCCAAGTATTCAGATTTGGCAACCACAGACCCCAGCTCCAGCCTGCCATGCAATTTCCCATGTCAATGCAGCCAGCCACATAGCTGTGGGTGTCATTACCACCCTGTACAGCGCCTGGAGCTGAACCTTAGACATGCTAGGGAACTTTGCAAGATCATCCAACTGGTAAAAGCAGGCACTGGTACCCAGCCTGGTTCGTGCGGGTCCAAGGCAGTACACCTTGCCAACCAGTAATCTGGTTGAGGAGCAGGAAAGAAACCACAAGGTCCCCTCCCCCAAAACTTAGTGTCAAGGCAGAAGGGTGAGCTCTCATTGGGACAAAGCTGTGGGGGGCAGGAGGAGTGGCTCCCAGTAGCAGATGGGAGCCATCCCAGCTCGCTGAGCTTGCCCTGGAGAGGAGCCCTGGCCTCCCTCGAGGAGCAACTTCCTGGAGGTCGCGCTGCTCCTACTCTAAAGAACACCAGGCCACTTCCTACCTGGGATGTGCAATCAGGAGAGGGGCTTTGAATCCAGCCCACTCCACTTGGGACTCTGTGACTTTGGCCAAGGCACTTCTCTGGGTTTCACCTTCCTTCTCTATAAAGCCGCCAGCAGAGAACCGCTGGAGATTCTACTGCTATACCTCCAGTGGGTGCTCCGGGTCACAAGAGACCCCCTCGGGCAGCGGTCCCAGGCACTCCTGTCAAGTGGACATTCACCAGTTACCTCCAGTCCTTCTTCAAACATTGCTTCCCTGGGGGAGCATGTCCAACAAAACCAAAAACAAGCCGCTCCCCTTGGCTCCAGATGCCTTGTTCTGCCTGACCTGTTGGGGCAGCTCCCCGGGCCGGGGTCTCGCAGGGTCCAGACGCGGAGGGCTCCCGACCCTGCAGCCGCTAGGTGGCGCGCGCGCACTCCCGCCATCGCCCCTGGTCCCGGAGGAGCCTCAGAGCGCACCCCGGGTTCCCGCGCGCGCCTCCCGGCTCCAGGCTGGCGCCCTTGGAGGAGCAGCGCGTCCCAGTACCAGATGAGGACTGTCCAAGGGATCTTTTCCCCCGAGAGTTATTGGCACAATCAGAAAATCGGTGGAAAGGGGGCGATAGGGGACGCTGCCTCCGTGTCCAAGCTCTGGGAGGAGCCTCCGCGTGCTTCCCGGGCTGGGCGATGTCCGAGTGTCCGCTCGGCGCAGGGCCAGAGCTCCGGCGTGCTACTCGCCCCCCCGCCGCCCCGCCTGTCCGGCTCCTCAGCCCTGCTCCGGTTCCGGCGCCCACCCCTCCCCGTCCTCTGCCCTAGCGCAGCCCAGCCCAGATCCGTTTCAGGACACTGCAGCCACCGCTAAAGATAGGAGGACACCTCATTGCCAGCTAAAAATACGGCTCCCAGCCAGGCGGGCACACTGCGCGGCGGGCCAGTGCTCCCCGCTCCCAGGCATGGGGCAGGGGCGCGGGCGTGGAATAGAGGGCCGATTCGGGAGCTCGGGGTCGGGAAGCGCTGCGGCGGGATCGGGAAGCTCGGGGTCGGGAAGCGCTGTGGGGATCACGGGTGGGACTGCGTGGACCGAGGCACGGCGGGCTCCCCAAGGAGCCCGAGGAAGGATGTGCGCCAAGGTGAGACCCGGGCCAGCGCGCGAGGTGGAACTGGTCGCCCCTGAGATGGGCTTCTCTGGGGACCCCGTGGAGCCACAAGCAGGCTACAAAATCCCGGCCTGAACTCACCGTAAGGCGCGCAGACGATCGACACGACTGACCCACGGACGCAGAAGCTCAGCAGCAGGACCGCGCAGCAGTAGGACGCGACCCGGGCTGTGAACTTACAGTGCGGACTGAGGTCCTGAAGCCCCGCCCCCACCCCGCGGAGCCAATAGAGAAGCCGCCCCGGCTGGGCACCGCCCATACCCAGGCCCGCCCCAGGCACGCCCAGGCTCCTCTTTGCAGCAGCTCTGCTATCCCAAAGCTTGGGTCCTGGTTCCCGCGGCTGCTGGCCAGCGCGGTCCGAGGCCCAGGGAGGACTCCGCGGACTCCAGCTGTGGGAATCGGAACCACAACCCTCAGCTCTAAAGGAGCCGGGGAGCAGTAGCCAGAAGACCGAATTCTTCAGAATTTACTGAGCTTCATTGGACCAGGTCCTGCCCTTAAGGACTGGGTCGGGGGAGGCGCCCGCACAAGTATGTTCAGCGACCACTCCAGGAATGAATGGGGCCGTGGAGGCGCCTACGTTAAAATCTTACAAATTCAGGAGCGATTTGTTTGTTTGTTTGTTTGTTTGTTTGTTTTTCAGGAGCTATTTGGAGAGCTCAAGTACCTCCTCGGGGTGGGGTGGGAGGCTGGGCGCTCGAGTCTTTGCTGCTGGGCTAGGTAGGTGCCTTCCAGAGCCGAGGAGGGTCTCTTGATCAGACCCATTCTTGCCGGCAGTCACACAGTACCGGAAACAATGAAGGGCAAGCCGTGCACAGGCTGCTGGAGATACAATGAAGGAACCATTGCCTTTGTCGCGTTCAGTTAAATAACTGATACTTATCAAAAATTTGAGAGCCAAGCACCGTTCTTGTTTCAGGGATTCAGTCCCCTCTGGATTGGGAAATACAGCCCAGTGAAAGGAAAGGAAAGGAAAGGAAGGGAAGGGAAGGGAAGGGGAGGGGAGGGGGAGGGGAGGGGGAGGGAAGAAACCCAGGGTCCCAAGCGCACAGTGACATCCCCTCGCAGGTAGCTAAGCACTAAGAGGAGTGAGGCAAGGGAAGCCGTGGATAGCTGTGGGGCGAGGGGACCGCATCTTCTAGAGTGTGATGCTGTCAGCTTGCAGTGTAGAGCTGGGGGTGTAGGCTTGGATTTGATCCCCAGTAACTTCTCCCAAAACAATGAGGGCACAGTGTGACCAGGAGGCTTGGTTCCATATTATAGGGTCCATAGGGAGACAAGACTTAGAAGGGATCCTACAAGAGGGAAGGATGCTGAAGTGGGGGAGAGCTCACCCAAACCAGGGGGGTGAGAAGGATGGGAAGAAGGATCACGGTAGGCAGAATGATGCCTCCTCCAAGATGCCCATCCTGTAATCTCCAGACCTGTGAATGTTTTGTTACATGGAAAGAGGGATTTAGGATTGCTGTTTCAGTTACAGTCTAGTCAGCTGACTTTAAAATAGAGATTATCCAGAAGCATCTATGTGGGCCCGCTGGGATATCAAGGGCCCATAAAAATAGAAGAGGAGCCAGGCATGGTGGTGCATGCCTGTAATTCCAGCACTCAGGAGGCTGAGGCAGAAGGATCACTGTGAGTTCCTGACCAGCCTGGGCTACAAAGTGAGCTCAAGGCCAGCCTGAACTGCATAGCAAGACCCTGTCTCAAAAAGACAATAAATAAATAAATAACTAGAAGAAGAACCAAACACAGTGGTGCACGTCTATAGTCTCAGCTACCCAGGAGGCTGAAGCAGAAGGATGACAAGTTTGAGCCCAGGAATTTAATGACTTAGCTAGACCTTGTCTCAAAGTAAAAAATAAATAAATAAATAAATAAAAATATATGTATAAAAGTAAAAAATAAACAAAGGACTAAGAATATAGTTTAGTGAAAAGGCCCTGGGTTTAATTCTCAGCACAAAAAGAAAAAGAGAGAGAGAAGGGAAGAGAGAGAAAGAGATACAGTTTTGGGAAAGCTCCAGAGAGATACTGTGCTCCTGCCTTTAGAGCTGGAGGAAGGAGTCACAGGTCAAGGAATCCCTGTACCCTCTTGAAGCTGCACCAAACCAGGGAGCAGGTTCTCCCCTAAGCCTCCAGAAGGAACAGCCCTGCTGACACCTTGCTCTTTACCCGGTGTGATCTCCGCTGGCCTTCTGATAATGAATTTGTGTTGTTTTAAACCACCAAGTTTGTGTTAATTTGTTCCAGCAGCAATGGAAAATGAATACAAGGAAGTTGTTTCAGATTTTAATCTTGAGCCTGCCCCATTCCTCCACACAGCTCCCTGGGGAGGACTGGTCAGGTGGATTCTGCCTGGCCTTGCTTGGTGACTTCTGGGGAAACTGAGGCTTGAAAAAAAAAAAAAGAAAAACTGAGGCCTGAACAGTCCAGGGAGAGGGGATGATGGTCCTGAGCCAAGTTGTGGGGGTTGGGGGAGGTGCTCCGATTTGACTGTATCCCCCAGAAAGCACGTGCTGAAAGTTAACCTGCGAGGAAACAGTTCCGGGGGTGGGGCTTAATGGGTGTGTTTGGGTGATGAGGTTCCTCCCCTCTGGATTCTTTAGTGCAGACTGTGAAAGGGCTTGAGGCTACACTCTCTTTCTCCCTCTCTTTCTCTCTCTCCCTCTCTCTCTTGCTGGTATGATGCCCTCAGACATCCTAGACTCCAAAACTACGAGCTAAATAAATTTCTGTGCATCGCAAAGTCCCCAGTCTGTGGTGTTGCGGTAGGAGCAGAAGACAGACCAAACCCATGGTGAAGGGTGCACCTCGCCCACCTTCCTGCCCTAAGCCTTCCTCCTATCCTTCCTGTCCCTGAACCTCACAGGTCCTCCTGAAGCCTTGGTGAGGTGGCCAGAGCCCAAATCATTATCCTCATTTATAGAGATGGAAACTGAGGCTCCAGGCACTGACAGGGGTGTGCTCAGCTGAAAGGGACACACACGAGGGCCTCAGGCCCCATCCTCTTAGAGCCTCCTCACTTAGCGGCTGTCATCTCTGTCCCCTCCCCAACAGCAGACCCTGGGAACAGAGGGACCCGCAGTCCCTTGGAGCTGGGTCCATGCACCAGGTCCTGAGCTGGCTCTCCTGAGGGCCTGCTGTGGGGCCATAGGCAAAGGACCTTTCCTTTCTGAGCCTCCTTGCTTGCAAAAGCAGGAGCAGCATACGGTCACCCGAGTCCTGAGCGAGACAAGGATCTTCCATGCACTTTGTTAACGGGAACACAAGGTCTCACCGGCAGCATGGTTCATAAAACATTGCAACAGGAGCCCAGGGGACTGAGGCCTGGCCTTGCTGCCTGACCTAGAATGAAGTCACCTGAGCCTGCAGAAGTGCAGCTGAGATGAAACCCCACCCTCATCCTTAGGAACTGGCAGAGAGAGTCCTGGGGAGAGGTGGGTGTCAGGAACTCCAGTCAGAGCTGGTGACAACACAGAAAGTCACAGGGATGGAAGGCTGGAGCGGCATAGGCTCCAGGCCAAGGCCACACAGCTGGGAACCACTCGGAGCTCTTTGCAGAGGTTCTGGGTGGGTGAGTAATAAGGGCCCCTGCGGGGTCGACAGCTGCAGGGCCCCCAAACCTGGCCAAGCTCCTGCCCTCCTCCCTGGGCCTGGCTGCATGGCCAGGGCTCCACACCAGGACTGGAACTGCCATCTGCACTCTGAGTACTATTTTCAGCACCCCTGGCTGTGACAATGCTCTGCCCAGTGCCAGCTCTGCCTGCTACTGGGACTGAATTTGCTGTCATCCATCCGTCATCTGCAGCTGGCACTGGCCGACCCCACGCCTGGGAGTGGTTCGGGCCGGCCTAGGCTCTGCCCTTAGCAAATGCTCACTTCCTTCTCGCCATTCCCACACAGATTGTCGAGTTGTCACTTGGCAGAGCCACCAGGTCCCTGGGGAGGTTCTGCTGAATGTCTGGGAGCTTCGTGTACACATCAGCGTGGCTGTGGGAGCCTGCAGCAAAGCATCTTTAAAATGGGGTTTCAGTTACTACAACTGGCTTTTTTTTTTTTTAAGTGCAAATGGAACCCAAGGCCTTCACAGTGAGCTATATCACCAGCCCTTGTTCATTTTTTAAATTTTGAGACAGAGTCTTGCTAAGTCACTAAATTGCCAGGCTGGAGCAACTTGGGATCTTACTGCCCCTGCCGCCCAGAGTGCTGATATTACAGGCGTCTGCCTCCATGCCCAGCTTACAACTGGACAGCCTGAGACTGGGTGGCCTGCATTTCTGACCCAAGAGACACCCAGGCAAGGGCTCCCCCTCAGCCTGGAACCATGTTGGGGTCTGATGCCTCAGCTGGGACCTGCACTGCCCCCTGGAACAGTTCTTGGACACCCTGGCACCTGAGGGTCCAGACCCAGACGGGCATTTGAGAAAGGTAGGGAAGGCCAGGGTAGAGACACCAGAGGGGGTGTTCAGCTGTTTGCCCTCAGCCTGAGCCTCCTGGCCCTGGGATGGGCCCCAGCTCCCTCCTCCACTCTGATCACCACATGGGGTCTGACTCAGCCTTTCCTTCCCCCGGCCCCTTCTTCCTGGAAATCACCCTTGTCAGCGGCCAGCGGCCAGAGTTCTAAGGGCCCTGGGGAATGGAACAGAAGCACCCCCACCCCCAAGGCTGGCTGGAGGGGAGACCAGCAGGGCAGCCCCTTCCTCACTATAGGCTGCAGCAGCTGTCCTCCACCTGCTATCTGGGGACTGGACCCTGGGCGGCAGATGGGATGATGGGGACCTGGGAACAGAGTGGCAGGGGAAGCATGGTGATCTAAGAGAGGCACCGAGAAAAAGTGGGGTTCTCTGGGGGAGCCCCAGTCCCCCCACCAAGTAAGAGCACAGGGAGACCCTGAGCTGGGAGCAGCCCTAGAGTCTCAGGCAGAGCGAGGCCCGCAGGGCCCGTGGCCTGAGGCCACCCCAGGCCTGGCTGTATTCTTCCTTGATTGTTTCTTGTTTCCTTCCGCCTCCAGGGCTCTGCCAGCTCCAGCCCTACCCTCCCTGCCCTCCCTCCCCTCCCTGCTCTCTACCCCGGTCAGAGATCGGCCCACGGGAGGCTGGGATTGGAGGCTGGCAGTCACTCTCCAGGGATCGCGGCCTGCCACCTCTGCCTTGCCCCTCCGTGGGAGCTGTGTGGCAGTGCCTTGCTGGGGGACTTTCCTTGAGGTCTAGATCTTGGCCTCTGGCCCAGTGACGTAGGGGTTTCTAGAGGAGGGACAGCCCTGTCCTGGCAGGGACCGGCTGAGGCATTTCCTCCCTCAGGCCTCTGAGAATGGCTGTCATTCGGCTTAAGGAATAAATTGTGGAATCATCTTTGACACTTCCCACGCCTTCATGTCATCTTGTCGTTATTCCAAAAACCCATCCACCCTGTGCCTAGGGCCGGGGTTGGGCCAGATACGACACCGGAGGCCATACTGGGCCCAGACAACCTGTTGGGAAAGAGCCAGTTCTAAATCAGCACAAGTGTGCCATCTTGAGGTCCCCAAGTCCCCCAGGGCAGCAGTCATCTCAGCGGAGGCTCAGTTGGCCACTG